ATTTTCATTTAAAGGCTGTTGATTTCATTGTTGGCGAATTGAAATGTATCTGAATAACTGCAAATATGATGAAGGCGACGGCTGAAAACAATAACTGTTAATGCACTTAATACATACAATAAAAATGATAGAAGAAGAAGAAGAAGAAGACGACGAAAATAAAGAAAGAAAGGAAGAAAAGAAGAAAGACGGAGAAGAAGAAGAAAAAGGAAGAAGGGAAGAAGAAAGAAAGAAAGGAAAGGAATGAAGTAAGAAAGAAAGTGAAGAAGAAGGAAAATGAAGAAGGGAAGTGAAGAAGAAGAAGAAGAAATAAAAAGAAAGAAAATAAGAAAGAAAGTGAAGAAGAAGGAAAATGAAGAAGGAAAGAGAAGAAGAATGAAAGAAAATAGAAAGAAAGAAAATGAAATAAGAAAGAAAGTGAAGAAGGAAAAAGAAGAAGAGAAGGAAAGAAGAAGGAGACGAAGAAGAAGAAAAAAGAAAGAGAGAAAGAAGAAGAAGAAGAAAGAATGAAATGAAAGAAGAAGAAGAAGAAGAAGAAGAAGAAGAATGTCACTTAGAAGGTAACATCATAAAAAAAGACGATAAAAAGCCTAAGATATGACGAAGGTAGCCATGAAAAAGACGGCGACGAAAGGACAACAAAAATAACGACTAGCAATAACAGTAAGAAGAGAAAGGTGAAGTAGAGAGTGAAGACGAAGGTAACCAAGGAGAATAATAATAATAATAATAATAATAAGAAGAAGAAGAAGAAGAAGAAGAAGAAAAAGAATGTACCGTGGCGTCACTTTCTTACTTAATAATAGCCAGAAGAAAATGGAGATGTAGAAGGAGAACCAGAAAGTAACGAAGAAGACGACGTCGAAGAAGGAGAAGCATAATATTTCTTTTTAATATCGTTCATCCGATACAAGGCCCAAGAGTCACTCATGCTAGAGGATCATTAGATGAGGTTGTTGTAAAAAGGCTTAAAGGGAGAAAGTAAGAGTATGCGAGAAGAAGAAATGATATGTAGGTACGAAAAGACGAATATGGCCCCCAAAAAAAGAAGAAAAAAAAAATATGAAAGCATGACAAATAAACAAAACGTAGAATGAGAAGACGAACCTTGTCAGGAGAAAAAAAAAAAATGACGAAGAAAGACGACACCCTTGGTGTGAAGATAGTAGTAGTAGTAGCAGTAGTAGTAGTAGTAGTAATCGTAGTTGTAGATAATAGTAGTCATAGTAGGATCGATAAGAAAGAGTAAAGGAAAAATATACGAGAAGACGTCGAAAGACAATAAAAAAAAACGAAGAAAAAAAGAAAAGAAAAAAAGACGCAGACAAGAGTCAGCCAGACGGGAATATTTTGATAATAGCAGTAATACTAAAACTACTACTACCACTAATACTACTACTACTAAAAATAATAATGGGAAGAGAAAATGGAAAAGAGGAAGGAAAACAATAACAGCGGCGACAAAAACACGAGTAATGTTAAACAGTGGAGCTTCAAGGAGTTTTGATATCTTTTAGCCTATAACAGTAAGGAAAGAATTTGAACTTTGATATCAAGAACCGAAAAAGCATGTATAATAAGGCGTCCTTCGAAACCCTTGCAGAATGAACAGGAGCTTCCAGAAAAGAAGAAAGACATTTTTAACAGTACCCTGCTGCTCAATACGGCGGAGAAATTGTGAAATACCCATGAGAAAAAAAATATATATATATATCTACTAAAAAAGTAAAAAAAAAAAAACAATAATAATATATATATATATATATATATATATATATATATATATATATATATATATATATATATATATATATATATATTATTATTATTATTTATTAATAATAATAATAAAAAAGATTTGGGTTTGCGAAGATCTAGAAAAAGATGCTGGAACTTTAAGGAAATTTGCTCTCGCCCGATCTCCCTCGTTGGTCACCAGGCACGGGCGGCTCGCCGTTCGGTAGTGGTTAAGGAACTCATTAACCATTACTACTGAGTAGTGAGTTTGATTCTCACTGGGTGCCCCATATTTACAGTTTTTTTGTTTTTTTTTCCCAGAACGAAGCAAATCAATTTTCTTTTCAAAAGTAATGTTATAGTGGTCATCTGGGGATTGGCAGTTGTTAAGTGATCCTTTCTTTTTAACCCTTACATCTGAGTAGAGAATTCGATCCTCATTGAGTGCCCCATGCAAAATTCGATATTAGATAACCCGACAAGGATTGGCATGTTGTAAAAATCAACAAACTTAACATTTTTTCGGCATTGGGTAAAAGTTAATGAGTCTAGTCTGGTTGACTATTATTATAGAGTAGTGAGATCCACTGAATGCGCCATGCTTGTGGTCTTGTGCCAAACCAAGCGAAATTTATTAAATGATGATAATCACCGGAATACAAATAATAATAATAATAATAATAATAATAATAATAATCTTCAAGAAAGAGAAAGGGTAGATAAATAGCCCAATCTTGCAGGAGAGAAGGGCAAGTTACGTAAC